GGGGCGTGTTAGAACGAGCCGTTTTAGGTAGGCATGGTTGACTCTTAACTTTTATAAAGAATATCTCTTTAGATTTGAGACTTTAGTCTTTGCAACTTTACAGATCTTCTTTATGCACCAAGAGCTTGTAACACTCCAAAGAGAAAGGAAAAATTGAAATCACACCATATGACCCCTTTAAGCCCACTGAAATGCTTGAATGCAGACACATCAACATCAGTGTCTCTATGTTTTAGGTCAAAAAAACTAAACATTAAAATAACACAGATGAAATAAAATAACTCATGCACGTTCAAATTCCCCGCTGCCGTAACGTTAACAGTTTTATTAAAATGCTACGCATTTAGCCCTATGTGACGTCTGTTTTTATATTGTTTATCAACAGTATACATTTTTATATTGTTTGGATTAACTAGCCGAGTAGACAGATATGAATGTTTATTCATAACCATACTGAAAATAAGTAAATATTGTTAGCTGATGCTAACTGTCTAGCTAACAAGCTTGCTGGTGCTAAGTTGAGGTAATTTTTAGTTATAAAGTCCAAATATTTTTATTCAGCCACCTAGATAAATTACATCTGGGGGAAAAAGAAAGGATGTGATGTTCAGAACATGGTAACTACAGTAAATATCAAAGTGGGAAGTGATGCCCTCTGGGGGCATTTGGCCAGGGGTGTTTTTACACCACAGACAAGGTTTGAGAAGAAAAAAATCATTATGAAAATATAATTATATTTTCCTTAAAATGTTCTTCCTAACTTCAGGCCTTATTCTCATGTTATATATAACTGTGATGTTCTGCAAAACAACAAGCTTTAAAACACTTTTTTCTTACTGGTGAAAATCAGATGGTCAAATTTGTTTTCTCTCAGGTACATCGCAGTGTAAGTTTCACAGTGAACATTACTACATCACTCTCATCAAAGTAGTCCATATCAACAACAAAAATATATCTTGACTCCAAATAGTGGTTATTTTGGGAAAATCACAGGTATTTTGAGCAGTAGGATTATACAAAATATGTGCTAATATAAAATAAAATTAAGTAGCCTATATAAAATTGCAAAATAAATATACCTATCAGTACTTTTTTACTTAAGTACATAACAAATCGAGTACTTTTGTACTTTCACGTGGGTAAAATTGAAAAAGGAGTACTTTTACTTTTACTGGAGTAATATTTTATTATACGTATCTGTACTTTTACTCAAGTACTTGATTTGTGTACTTCGTCCACCACTGTCACTAGGGAATTCAACAAGATTAAGTGTTAGTTCATCCAAAAATGTTCTGTCATTATTTACTCACCTTGGACAACATAAGGATGCATTTTGGAGAATGTCCGCGTTGCCTTTTTCAATAACAACCTTAAAGGGGTCATCGGATACCAGTTTTATTTTGTGAAAATTACCAGCTAACTGCACTATCCTATACTAATTCATTATTTGTCTAATGTAAACGTATATATCAATGACTAGCATTTTTCCAAACTATTTCCATTAGAACAGCATCTCTGTCCACAGAGGTTATAATAGGGGATATGGCATCCACATATAATTGCTCCCAGCACACGTTGCCAGATCTTTGGCCAGCATCTCGCCGGTGCTGCAGATAAACAGATGGAGTGATGAATGATCAATCACACACACAATGGATTTCTCTGGCAGCACAATTTGTGAAGGTAATGAATGTGTCAGTGCAGTCAGGTCAGTGTATGATGTTCTCAATCTCTGCCGCCAGGGTCACTGCCAGGTGGTCTGACCAGCTGCTAGCCTGAGGGGAAAGTGATGCTTCGGTGCTTCCTGTGACAGTCACGACTGCTGTTCTGGTGAGTGAGACGCCACACTGAAGCTCCAGGCAGCAACCCTGTCTCTCTTGCACATGCAGTGTCCCTCCTGCGGGGCCCCTCCAGGCCCCTCAGTGCTCAGATGATGAAGGTCTAACACCTACTGCCTCTTCCTTTCCCAGGGGGATGCAGGGAGATAAAAGGTGTTGTTTTTCTGGCTACTTTTATGCATTTATCTTGAAGGTAGGGTACACGTGTGTGGACATAATAATAAAATATCAGCAAGACACTGAGGAAATAATAGCATAAGTAATGCCAGGCACTGAGCTAAACCTGTTTTTTCAGCAGTCTGAGATCCAGAATTATATTTCCCATTCTAAAATGCTGAAGATATTTGTCAAGATTTCTTTCTTGTCAAGAACAACCAGTTTTGAAAATAAATCACAATGTTATGTCATTTTATGAAATCAACTCTATGAAATTTCCTTTCATAGAAATAAAAGTCCAATAGTGACATTCTTATTTATTGAAAATCACTACATGTACTTTCGGTATAGTTTGAGGATTCATTTTATAAGACAGAACTGCAAATTGGATCTATGATGTCACATGCAACTGTAGCAAATTAGCTCAAAAGGGAAATATATAAAAATAATTACAATTAATTATGATTAATTACAATTATTTATATGAGTTGCCAGTAGTAACTGTAGCAGAATTAAATTGCCATCAACTAATCTGTTTGTCCAGCGAACATTTAGTATAATTTCATATCTACTCTAAGAAAGGATATTTTCGTGGCCACAGAAAACAACCTTCTTACAGTAGCCTAACAATGCATTAGAGAATGTAGCAAGGATCAAAATCGTAAAGGGACATTATTCACAAGCAGGATCAGAAACGTCTAGGTTACTTGTGTAACCCTCGTTCCCTGAAGGAGGGAACGGAGACGTTACGTCAGTCGTGACTGACGAATTGGGATCTCGCCCGAGAGCCCAATCACCTTCGAGTGTAAACTAAACAAGCCAATGACAGTTGGCGTGCGTGTTTCGCCACGCGCACCCCGCCCCGCAGCGCGGGACCCGCACGCCAACTGTCATTGGCTTGTTTAGTTTACACTCGAAGGTGATTGGGCTCTCGGGCGAGATCCCAATTCGTCAGTCACGACTGACGTAACGTCGAACGTGACTGACTGAAAGGGAACTCGTGTAATCTGTGCACAAAAGTTTTATTAACTAAATGCTAACACTCATAACTAATCTAAACAAACAAACATACAATCACTCATACATGGGGAAAGGGCAAATGAGACTTGATGGATGAAACCATCAGGAAAACCAGAGAATGAAGCTATAAAAGAGTTGGAAAGTCAAGGCCGAGGCCTGGCACGAACTTAGGGTGTCCTTAAGGCTGATTTATACTTCTGCGTCGGGCCTACGCCGTAGCCTTTACGCCGTAGGCTATGCGTCAGTTTTGGAAAGTTTAGGACTCTTTGTCTTCGCAGCATGGTATTTTGCATATGTAATGGAACTGGGTGTTGATGCAAAACTACTAAAGATTCTTAGAACACTAATATATTGCCTATGTACCAACATATAATATACACTCTCGTTTAGATCATCAGAAGACGAATTCATAGATACTAAACATGGTATAGGTAAGATTACATGAACGAGTTGTTCTTTCATAAGCATGCATAAAAGAGTATACAATACAAAAGACAATATACAAGAACAGTAACAACATACACAATGACCTGAAGAATATGTGATATATTTGCATTAAAAATCAGTTTTGCTATTAAGATTTATTTATTTATTTTTTTCATACAGGTCCAAAAAAGTAATGATGCTAAGTGTATGGTCAGAAATATATTTTAATTATAAATATAACTTCTTTTAAAATTATTTTTGCAAAAAGACTCTTCTAAGTCTCCACATACCAAAAAGAATATTTTTTTTTTGTGAAAAACATGATACATCTTTTTTTTTTCAGAATTATTTGCTGAATACAATCTTCAAAAGAACAGCATTTATTTGAAATATTTGTTTGCATTAATGTAAAAAAAAAAAAAAACTCTCTACTCCAATATTCAAGGCAAAACTCCATCATAGCGCAATACATATAATTACACAACATAAACACACAGTTGATGGTTTTTGTATAGAACCCACTCAGTTTCACTATGTTAGAGTGACTGAAGCCGATAAAGTGGACATGTGTAAGTATCGTTACTACTTTTTACCCAGGAGGCCGTATTTCACTGATGCACTAATAGGTCACTGGAGTGTCATTCGATGAATAGGAGTTTGATCAAGAGAGGATAGTTGCTATGGAAATGGGCCAGGTAACACAGGTAAGGGCCACTGTTGATTGCCTGAACTCAAGAGGCCCTGATGAGAGGAAAAGACCACTTTACAATCACCAGCAGCGCACACATCACTTAGAGAGAGATAAGCAGATACGGTAATGGTCAAGGAAACCAGGCTGTGATTTACAGATATCTATCTATCTATCTATCTATCTATCTATCGATATACATACATACATACATATATAATAATCATATGAGAAGCTACAAAGAAACCATATAAGATAACTGATTAGGTCATCTGTGAATAAATAGAGATTTATACATAAAATGCATTCTGATACATGGACATGTAGATGACCCTGTATAATTCACTCTTCCTCTTTTTCAGTTTTTAGTTAAAACATGGCTGAAATAATCCAACACTGGCACTTGCCATTGTGTAGCGTTTAATACTTCAGTTAAGTGAGTGAAAGTAGAGCAGACAGTCCGAGATGGTGCGAATGGATCGAGGCGGGGACTTATTTGCATATTCATGTTCATCGTGAACTCTGTGTAGGGATCTTGTGAGTCAGAAAGCAGCTTAAACCACAAAGTTGATACATTGCTTGAAAACCATAAACAGTCTGTTGTATATGCCTATATCTATATTGTAATGAATTTGAAAATTCTGGCATGTCTCTCTTTCGCTTTGCCTATTGTGAGCATGAACTCAAGTTTACATGAACAAAACCCAATTACCATGTTTAGTGTGACTAAATACAATTCCACAGAGCATCTTTTGCATCTTCTGCAGAGCATCTTCTGACTGTATGTATAACAGAATAATTTGTTAAAATTTGATTAGTCATCTACAATCTTTGATTTTTCAAAGTTGTAAGATAATTAGAGTTTGAACTGAACTTTTTTCAGTCTTTGTTCTTCAAAATTTCATGTTTATTTCAATGTCATTTGAAATTTATTTTTAATTGTAAAATTTACAAAAAAAAATTCTGAGTGAACAGTGTAGAAATAGTAAATACTAAATATTGCAAACCGTCTTTTGGTATTAAAAGTGAAGAATTAGCGCTGAAAATGCATGGGCACAGTTATTTTTGCGCCTGACCTCATTACATATGCATTTGTAGGAGTTTCCCTTTCAGATTCAAAATTTATGGGAGGAGAGTATTAAAATGAATCACGCAACGCAATTTATGAACATTTGCGGTCATCAAATTTCTGGTATTTGCACCATTATCTAATGCTTACAAAGTCTTAGGGCCAGATTTACTAAACAGGGCAAATTCGATTTAGAGCACAATTACATAAAAGCACTGATGGGAGGAGAAAATTCTGCAGGTGATTTACTATCAACGCGCACATTAAAGAACACAGACGCAGCCAGATCATTACTGCCTGCTTTTTTTGGGCGTTAAATAATGGCGCAAATACCAGTAATTTGACTAGAGCAAATGTTAGTAAATTGCGTTGCATGATTAATTTTAATACTCTCCTCCGATAAATTTTGCATCTGAAAGGGAAACTCCTACAAATGGATATTCAATAAGGTCAGGCGCAAAAATAAATTCTTCTCTGGACGTCTTTAGTAAATCCTGACTATTTTAACGCTAAAAGACGGTTTGTGCTGGCGCAAGCTGTTAGTAAATCTGTTAGTAAATCTTAAAGGGGTCATCGGATGCCCATTTTACACAAGCTGATTCTTTAGGGTCTTAATGAAAAGTCTATAACATACTTTGGTTAAAAACAAGTTGATATGATTCTTTAGGGTCTTAATGAAAAGTCTATAACATACTTTGGTTAAAATGTCTCAGTGGTAGTGTAAAACAACATCCTTTTTACCTTGTCAAAATCAGCTCTGTTTTCATTAACTCGTTTTAGTGCATGTTCCTTTAAATGCTAATGAGCTCTGCTCATCCCGCCCCTCTCTTCCGTGGGGTGATGAGCGGTTCTCATGAGACTGTTTACTTTAGCCCCGGAACTTGCTAACTAGCACATTATTAGGAAAGGTGATTTGCAAAGATTCATAAAAGAACCTTATACTCACTTCTTCTGGAGGTGAAGCTGGATCACAATTGATTCGCGTGAAAATAAACGCATTTAGGTAGATCGGGGATTGACACATTCCCTTCAAAAACAAAAGTAATCCACTGCGTTTTCAGCCGCTCAGATGTTGGGAGTAAATGACGACTGCTATGTTCATTATTACATCCAACAACAGAACACCTCAATCGCTTAGGAGCCATTCTTGTCTACATCTACTCCGGCGGCGAAACAATGGCAGACTGATGACAGCTCACTCAGGGCGGGTCTAAGGTAAAACGCTAGTGTCAATCAACAATCGTGGGAGGGGCCTTGGTCTGTGAGACAGGCATCTGAGAATGGTTTGACATGAGAAAGGGGAAATGATTTAACGAGATTAAAAACATAAATAAATAAATAAACACTGGGTGGATCTTTATCATTATAGGGTGGTTGTGTACACACACTGCCAACACACATTTCAGTTCAAACAACTTGTAAAAGTGCATGTAGCATCCTATGACCCCGCTAAACTATTTTGCACTTGAGATGGCTGCAATTGTTGTTGCTAGTAGGAAGCACCACAGAGAACAGACAATGCGTGGTAGAAGGAAGATAATTTTTTCCACACGCATTAATTTATTTGGAATACCAGAAGAACACATTATCCGAACATATCGTTTGCATCGGCTCTGCTTATTTGCGACTATGATCATTTGTGCTGCGCTTGATATATTGCTATGGTCATTTGGTAAAAGGAATGTTGCGCCCGTGTTCTTTAATTTGTGAATTGCACTAATTTGCCCAGTTTAGTAAATCTGGCCCTTAATGTCATATTATTGCTACAACTGTAATTTATCGTGATTAACAATGAAAACATAAAAAAAAAAGTGTTCACAGTTCTCAGTTTAACTGAAACAAACAATCAACAACAATACTATTACTACTACTACTACTACTAACAATAATAATAAAATTAATTAATAATAATAAAAAAAAAAACATTGCACTATATTGGTGCTCCCGTTTACATTAACTTATGTGTGTGATTGGCTAAGCCTTTAAAGAAACAAAGGTTACGGCCCTCCTCATGTCTCACTATTGATTTAATTACAGAGCCAATATCAGGCTTAATTTAGTGAACCGTTGCAGCAGAACTGAAGCAAACTCTCTTAAAATGCTGCAACTGAAGGTGAAAGAAATCTGCATGAGAGCTAAAAATGATTCTGAGACCTCTCCGCTCTGACAGATTCCTGATCAGCAAGGAAAGCGATACCATCGTCTCCACACGAGATGTCTCCAAATGCTCCAATCAAAGAAAAAGCAAACCCTTGTGCGCTCTAAAAATAGTCTGTCTTTATCCTGCTCTGATTTGTAATACGGATTTGTGAGCGTTCCCGTAGCCACGCGCCATGTGCTGGCTGAACGTCTGCCAGAGACTTCAGAGAGGCCTGTGTCAGGAAGAGAAATCGTTGATGGAGGCGGCATCCGAGAAGTTGTGGTTCATGAAGGGGTGTTTACCACGTTGAAAACGATGCAGCTTTGGAAATGGAAATTTCCTGCCTAACCACCTGTGCAACGTTAGCTTGATGAATGTAGTGAAAAATGTTTCAGCTCGCACGACAGGGAACCCTCCGGCACGTGGGGTGTCAAGCCGTCTGCCAGAGCGTCTTTCGACTCAATTTGAAGTGGGAGGAGAAGTTTGACGCCCACTGACCTGTCACTCTCCTCACTACGCTGGGCTGCCATTAGAGTAGAACTGTCATTAACTGCAGGATTTAATACAGCAATAATGCCTCAAACTGACAGACAAATGACTTACAAACACAACTATATAAACACGCACATGCGTACACACTTATGCTATAGCCACACTGCAGAAAATGGATTTGTAAACCAGATTCCAGAAAAATACTTGCAATTCGAAAATTGACTACTGGATTTACAGAAATCATTTTATTTTTTAGGAGAATTTTCAGTAATGCAACATATCGAATCAACCCCTCATGAACACATTTTAATTCTTATTTGAATTACCATTCAGAATAACAGACCCGAACGGTCATATGGAGAATTACACCATGGTGTGAAAACAAAATTGACATCCAATTATATATTTAAAAGCTACATGCAAAATGTGTAAATAAGTAGTGTTTAAGACCATTAAAAAGGTTAAATAGTCAATCAATAAAAACAGTCTAAAACATAAATAAAAACAGTCTAAAACTAGAACTGTTGGGTCCTAAAAACAGCATCATTAAAAAAAAAAATACAGCACCATTAATGGCATCACCTAAGATTTTAAGGGCCAGATTTACTAAACAGGGCAAATTAGCGTTAGAGCACAATTCCATAAAAGTGCCAATGGAAGGGGAAAAATTTGCATGTGAAAACAGACGCAGCCAGATCATTTCCATAATGACCAGCGCAATCTACCAAGAGCAGTGCAAACCACCGCCTGCTTTAAGACATGCTTTTTTTGGCCGTTAAATAATAATATCAGGAATTATTATAATCATAGCCTAGTGTTCATTAATGATGGAAAGCAGATTTAGAAAACCCCAAATATATCAATGAATTTGCCCATTCCAGACTATAAGCATTTTTTTTTTCTCTCTGAAAGCAAACAGATAAATGTGGTGCATGTGTCACATTTAGGAAATGAGGTTTGCTTCTGAAAGCCATACGTTGCTCTAAACGGCCCTAATGTTGCTGTGTTTCCACATTGAGGCCAACTGATTAAATTAGGGGGCAGCAGAGATACATGCCAAGTTACACATTCAGTGATGAATATGTGCTCTCAGTGCATATGAATATTCATTTCAGCCCGCTGGGTATGCATGCACTCAGATATAAGCGCTAAGGCAATAAATGCCATTAAGAGGAGCCTCTGTTGTTTGGCTGTATTTACAAGAGTGAAAGTAGCTCGAGGATATAGACTCCAGTCATTTATCATACTTTGTCAATGTAAATCAAGCTTTTGGGCCAGTGTCCAGTGGTGTTCCCACGGGAAGATGAATGCCAGCGGTTCACTCAATGAGTTGAAACCTTAGGGCAGCAGTGCTGTTCACATTGAATCCAGCCAATGTAACACACTCGCAGACAACATGAATCAAAATCTAACCCAGGCTCATAAAAAAATATGTGCTTGTGGCAACATTTTTGCAAAAATGATATAACTTTGTTGTTTTTTTTGCACATTTCAAGGCAGTTTCAATGTGAAATATCTGGCGAGTGTGCTAAAAGGTTAATGCTATATCATGTTTAAAATAACATACACTAAATTCTACCAATAATGTTAACGAAAGAAAATGTGAGAGAAAAACGTATTTGCTCAATATTTTACCTCATTGTAAATGCTGTACCAGGTGAGCTACCAAGCAAGTTTACTTTGCTGGTTAGGTGATACACAAATTAAAATGTATTACTTTGCAAATCACACACAATGGTAAAAGCATTTTGAGATGATAACATAGTATTGTACACAGAAACGCGACAAACTGCCCTTTATAAACTCCCATCATAATTTTTATAAAAAGCAATAAATGTTGTTTTTCTGCTCTAGAGTTCATTTCTAATGAAAACTGCTGTTGATTGTATATGCATGCACCTCTTTGGAGCAAAAATGTAGGTAGAGACACATTTTTCCAATGCAAAATTTGCATCCTATTGTACATTCATCAGTATATGCAACTGTAAAGAAAATAAATATATAAATAAATAAATAAAGTTCTTCACTCACTTTTCTCCTGACATCACCAGAGCTGCATAGATTGTGAAAATTTTGTTATACAATAACATAAGAATGTATATTATATTGGCTATTTCATGTCAAATATGGTTAAACCACACATACATTTACTTAAAGCTGCAGTCCGTAAGTTTTGCCTCTTTGTCTCTATCTCTGTTTGAAACCTGCAACTGCAGTTATTTGCGGAATTATTTTCTTAATGTGGGTTGTTCTGACCAACTGAGGAAAAAAGCATTAGAAATAAATCGTGCTATACAATGGTGATTAAATCTAACGATCGGTTGGCTCATATCCCATCAAACCGTGCAAATTATTATTACTTATTAGTTACTTTGTTCTCAAATTGTTCATGTTAACAACATCAGCATTGCATGACTGCGTGTATGTAGTGTGTATTAGCATTATATGTAGATTTCAATTTCTGTACAGTCTAATCTCATACCATTTGAATTTAATATAAATAAATTATTTTAACTCAAAAAGCAAATTATTCTTCCTTATAACTGGTTCTCTTTGCAGTACAAAACGTGTGTAATCCCATGTAGGCTATCTGTAATCAGATGCACATTTAAAACTGGAATATAATCTAATTTCAGTCACTTGCGTTTCATAAACACATAATCCTTTTTAGATTACAATCTGCCATCAAAATGATAAATTTAATTATTCCAGCTGCTGTGAGAAAAGGCTATAAACGATCCGCCACCTGTAGCATTACATGCGATATAGCATACTAGCCGAGACGCCTTCTTTATGTTTACAGACGTGATGTAACGACGCAGCGCCATGCTAGAATTTCCCGTGAATTCCTACCAGTACCACTCAAATTAGAAAACATTATTATAAGCTTACCGTTGTGAATCGGACTAAAGAAAGGCGATAGTTTTGAACACTGGTTGATTATGTACTTTCTCAAAAATTGATTTCGTATAATTTTTAACTAAAAAAAAAAAAGTTACAGACTGCAGCTTTAAGTTTGCATAGACACTAAGTACTGACATATTGACATCATCTAAAACAGTGGTTCCCAACCACGTTCCTGGAGGACCCCCAACACTGCATATTTTGTATCTCTCCTTTGTCTGACACACCCATTTCAGGTCTTGGAGTCTCTACTAATGAGCTGATAATCTGAATCAGGTGTGTTTGATTAAGGAGACATGGAAAACATGCAGTGTTTGGGGGCCTCCAGGAATGTGGTTGGGAATCACTGATCTAAAACATATGAACAACTTGTTCATGAATTCTTATTTAAACTATGGATATTTATTAGTTATTATTATTATTATTTTATTTCTGTCAGGACCACTATCGTCAAAATGATAGATACTTAGCATAAAGTTTGGTTTGGCGGTATGGTTCTGTTCTGGGCAAAAACCTCCCTGCCCGTCCATACAGCCTGTCATGAATGAGCAGGGAGAGCAGTAATAATAACCCCCCTAGGGTTAACAGAACAGAACAAGGCAGATATCATTAACGTACCTAATGATATTTAAGTGTAACACTTTATTCAAGATAAAGGAGTCTGATTAGCAAGGAATATCAGAAAGCCAAGTCCTGACTGTGGCGAAAGGAGGAGCTGGGGATGGAGGAGGGTTTCTGGTTTCATTTTTAATTGTCAAATTAAATTGTATTAATTAAAAAGCATGTCTAATTAATTCAACTTATACAATTTAACCATTTATTAAAAGTTGAACAAAAATGACATGTTTAGGGCCCTATGAAATGTTTTATTTTTTTATCATCTTTTATTTTCATGTTTTATTGTTACCAAATTCTGTGTTTTAGTCATAGGCGGAGCGTGTGTAAGGCTGGGGTTAACAGAACAGAACAAGGCAGATATCATTAATGTACTTGATATTTAAGTGTAACACTTTATTCACGATAAAGGAGTCTGATTAGCAAGGAATATCAGAAAGCCAATTCCTGACTGTGGCGAAAGGAGGAGCTGGGGATGGAGGAGGGTAATTTGCTCCGGAGCAAGCTGAAAAGCTGCTGAATAATACTGAATAGAGCTTATATAGGAATGCCGCGATAGGTGTCGTATTCCTATAGGTAGATGTGATCAGCTGAGAATCAGCTGATGCAAGCTTGACTCACGTGACCTGCCAGAACTAACGCTTACGCTTAATTTCTGTCAGGATCACTATTGTCAAAATGATAGATACTTAGCATAAAGTTTGGTTTGGCGGTATGGTTCTGTTCTGGGCAAAAACCTCCCTGCCCATCCATGCAGCCTGTCATGAATGAGCAGGGAGAGCAGCAATAATAACCCCCCCAACACAAACGATAGGCCTGGACCCCCCCAACACAACGATAGGCCAGAACCGCCCAAACCACAAGCCCCTTTAATGCAATACCTGAAAAAGATGCAGAAAACCCACTAGAATTGGCAGCCTAGTTTGCAGCAAACATAGCGTACTGCAGCCATAGAAGCGAGCAATGAACGGATCAGAGATTGCAGATCCTACCTGGCCTAAAAGCTTCAGCATCCATTTAAAAAGTCTATAACAACAGCATACAATAACTCAAATCAACTCATCAGTTTCTAGGTTGGCTGTCTCCCATTGACATTTGTGCTCGTTGTGTTACATGTCCTCAATCTGACAACCCGCGTGAGCATAGACAAAAATCCACCAATACACTAGATAGCTTTGCAACAAGCATGTTGCTTGCTTAACAGTATCAAGCACATTACCGATACACTGTATAGCTTTAAGCAACAGCATATCGCGGACTTAAACACAGCTTGATGGAAATAATTATACATATAGGATGTGTTTAATGAAACAGCATCCTCAATATTAGATGAGCCTTAAGCAGCAAGCCTGTTTCATATCAATATATATATATATATATATATACATATATAATATATAATAAAGTATATTAATACTATTGTGATAAATACTCTTTAAAGTATGCTAAAGTGTACTTTTTTTTCACAAAGGAAAAATATATATTTTTTAAATTAAATATAATTTTCACTCTCAAACCTTTGCTTATGTGGACATTGTGATGCATCGTGATTTTGTAATTTGGCCACAATTACAATCTAGAGAGACAGCACACTATAAATGCATACAATGATAAAATGAATAGCTTGAATGTAATGTCAGTCGCTCTGGATCTAATGTTTAAAATACAATTATAAATAAGGTTGATGAAAAGCCATCAGTGGTTTCCCTAATGTCGGATTTCCTGTATGTTGCTCTTTATGTTGGATTTAATTGCCTTTGCCTGCTTGGGTTCCAGCTGGGAATGCCGTGTATCACGGCGGCTGTTCAATATCAATGATTACCCATACTTAAATCCATGTGGCCATTAGCCGCCTGCCCTGAGCATCGATGAGCCAGCGTCTGAAACTCTCAGCTCTTAGTTCTGTTGCGAATGCACAGTACATTTCACAGTTCTCGAGTTGTGTGGACTGTGTAATAATAATGAAATAACAATGCAAACTTAACATATCTATAGGTAGATGTGATCAGCTGAGAATCAGCTGATGCAAGCTTGACTCACGTGACCTGCCAGAACTAATGCTAACGCTTAATTTAATGAAATTAATAGGTTGATTTTATTGTATTTATGATCAATGAGATAATATTTTCAATTGCACTTGTTTACCAGTTGAGCCAATTACTTAATTTGTAATTAGACAAACATTTCATTCTGTTCTGTGTGACTCCTCGTGCCAACTTGTTTCAAAGAATTTCATCATTTCTAACAAGACTACACAATAAAATATTAAAATAAAAACAATTGCTGCAATCATTTATCATTATCATGTTATATTTATTTTATTAGCCGTGGGACGTGGTAAATATGCTGTGACTAAAAAACAAATAAAAAACACCACAAATGATACAGGTGTAGGAATCATGTTTCAGGTGATGTACGTTTGAATGAGACATGCACACCTTCACAGAGGATAAATCTTATTCACAGCATAAGATTTTCAGTGATTAACAGCTTAATTTTTACTCTGTGACTCCTCCTTCAAAACTATTGTATTTCGCCAGAGAGGACTGCAACTGCAACACATCGTCATTGGACTACTTTCTGCCATTTAGGAATAAACTGTTGTGATTACCTTTAACTGTCTATTTTGCTTTTCTTTATAGTGTGTCATTTTTCAGAAACAAGTTTTAGAGATCTAAGAGGGATTAGTGGCTCATATATATATATAAACTAATTCTCATTAATTTGCATCTACATGTCTACTAACTCTCAGAGTAGACTGTTAGGGTAGGTTTAGGGTTAGTAGAATAAGTTGACAAAGAAAGTGTTAGAAGATATTAAGCAGACAGTCTACTAATACTCTACTAACTGCTAGTTGACATGTAGTTGCAAAGTTACTTACTGTTAATAGAATGTCTAAAGTGAACTATCAAAATAAAGTGTTACCAAATATTTTTTAAATAAAAAACATTCTTATAAAACACTTACAAAAAAAGATGTTTATCTCCATGCCATGTGACAATTATTATTTATTATAATAAAGAAGTAAGTATTTTAGGTCAAAGGGATTTGGGTGAAAAAATTGGATGCATAATTGCATGCAAGTAACCCTAATCCTAACCCCAACCATATAGTAAGTACATGTAGTTAATTAATATTACGCAGTACTTAATTGTATAATTAACACTGTAACAAGGACACTTAAAAAAAAAGTTTAACTCATACTGAATTGCAAAACACTTTTGCTGCTATTGAGGTGGGATATGGTTAAAGTGAGGGGAAAGTTAGATGTAAGTACATAAACTAATTACAGATATAACTACAGGAAGGTATATAAGTAAATATAAAGTAATGTAAAACACGTATGGTCACAGTAATTGCATTGTGCCAAATAATTAATTTAAATGTAAGCACATAGCTTGTTAAAGACACTTAAAAAAGTGGGTAAAAAAACAAAAACAAAGACATCATCATTGTCCCTATATGTTTGTCCAAAGATAAATAAAAATTGTGGGATCAATAGGGTTAAATCTATTCAAAGGGCTCGGCCTGCAGCTCAAACGGCTGCTCCTCATTTGTTCTGAAGGTCTTGATGGGCTTGGCCAAGTGGGGGATACCACAAATCAAACAATCCACTTGATTGTATCCTTACAGGGAATTGATTTCCAACCCGCACGTCACAGGCCTCCGCTGATTAAACCTAAAAATCCTCCCTCCTCTCAGAAAAGAAGGTAACTATAGTGAACGAAGAATGGCTTTCTGCTCGCCTAAACAGATGGTGCTGATGAAACAATCTTAACCTGAAATTCAAACTTTTGCTCGTTTCTGAAGCGATGTGGCATGACAAAATGTAAAGCATCTCTGTCCAACCTCTCCAAGTCAGGGAGCATGACTGTGAAATGCTGCTGAGTAATTGTAAATGCACTCCGACTGTTGTTTGTCTAAATTAATCATCAGTTGCGCAGTATAAACATGTAGGATTTTGATGCTGATGATCTGAGATACAATCACCCATTAGCTGCCCCGTGGTAAAATGTTATCGTGCAGATATTGCTCTTTCATATTTCAGGTGCACTGTAAGTCTGTAAAAAAAATGAACCACTTATACTTCAACTTAAAAACTTAAATTTAGCAGCCTTAAATGTTAAAGGGTTAGTTCAGCCAAAAATGAAAATTAGGCTGCGTTTTACTCATCCCCGATGCATCCTAGGTGTATATGACTTTCTTCTTTCAGACGAATCCAGTCGGAGTTATATTAAAAATTGTCTTTGATCTTTCAAGCTCTATCGTTGTACTCAGCAGGTTTTGCATTCCTTCGGTTCAAAAGACGTGAAATAAAAAGCACCCTTCCACAAAAAAAAGTGTCTCACACGGCTCCCGGGGG